TCTAGGCCCTAACAGCTCAGGTCACTACAAATTAATTTAATTTGTAATGAAGAATCCAAAGTTTTCAAAACACTGGTCAGGGCACCAAGGCACTTCTTTCTTTTGCTCACACAAGACACTGAGTCCTGTCAAGCACAGCCTATATCGAATTTCAATTGAAGTTATTTTAATTATTTTGATCCAGGATCTCACTTTCTTTTTTTTTTTCCTGAGACATTTCCTATAAGAAACCATTTGGGCTAACAGAAAAATAAAGACAATTAGCATACCAGACTCTTGACAACTTTCAGCAACTCCTCCATCACCACAGCAATGCCCTGATATCCAAGAAGTCTACAAATGACTTTAAAGTGAGGGGGACCAACAAAATTCCTGTAGTTGCTGTAAATGCTGGAATATGCCAAATTCAATGCCTAAAATAAGAAAACAGATATAATTAATGAAAATTTTGTCTACCTGTATCTCAATAATAATGTAATTTAAATATCATTTTAAAGCACATTAAAACTGAAATAAAAACTTTGTATCTCACTGGAAGAAGTTTAAATACACTATTTCTCTTTTGTTCAGCAGGAACTTCAACAAAAATCTCTCTATTAGCAAGACAAATTTGTGAGTACATTTTTTTCCAAGAAGACATCTTCTATTTATCATTTATAAAGCCACAAACACTTTCTCTTTTGTACTTTTCTGTTTACACAAGCATAAAAGGGTAAAAGTAGTTAGTGCCATGTTGAGATTCCTGAATTTGAAGCACAGCTTCTATTCCTTTATCTTCCATTTTATGCACAAAACATCTTGAAAGAAATTACTTCAATTTTCTGTTCATAATAGGTGTTTTAAGTCTCTGAGTACTCAAATAAAAAAAAAAAAAAAGGTCTTCTGCAGTTACTGCTCTCTGCAACTAATTAATTAGGATCTTTCTTTTTCAAACCCCTTCACTGTACACCAGATCAAAGCAAATCTAAGTCTGGGATGCAACCTCATGGAAATTGTATAAATAGGCCCAGGTGCTTTGCCATGTTTATTTCTATGAAAGTGAACACAGCTGTACAGACTGATGTGATGTGGGGATTTAGGAACTGTTTGCTGAACCTGCAGATTAGACAGGGTTGGCTAACTTAGCATCTTCCGTTTCTGCAAGTGGGTTGCTCTCCTTATATCCTGAAATTTAATTTTAGTGAGAACCTTAGCCACCTTTCTTACAGAAGGGACTGTTGTGTTTCCTTTAGTTTTTTGCAGTTTCATTCTCTCTAATACACACATGGAGAACAGCACACTGTTAAATTCTCAACTTCACACACAGCTGTAACAGAAGATTTTCCAGGAAGAACATTCCCTTCAATGCAGATGCTGCCCTAAGTACCCACGCAAGTCAACACCAGATACTATAAATACATGGCATTAAGATAGTTGGAATTCAATTCAGAAAACTCTACTAAGCTCTTGAAGGATTTTATTCTCATAAAAGGACTTAAAAATCATCTTTTGAAGCAATCAGAATAGAATATGAACATTTTTATTTATGTTGTATGTCTCTATATAAACATCAGTTTCCAACTGAGGTCTTAGAAATTTTAAAATTCTAGATGTAAACTAAAACAGACACTTGGATAACGACTAGAAAATCCTAGTACATTACACAGTCCTGCTGTTACATCAGAGCTGGCTAAAAGGCCAAACTCCAATTGTGTCCCACCAGGGGACAGCCTAAAGCTGCATCCCTCTAGTACAGCCTGTACATTTCCATAGCTCTCCACGTACAAAAATGGGGTCGGGGCAAAGACAGGAGAGAGAACTGGTAAAATGTTAAGAACATACGTGCAGATAAATGTCCTGATAAATTAAGGATTTTTACAATTGCCCCTAAAAGATGAGATTTAATTTTTTGTTTTTGATGTTTCCAATTAGGTAGGTCTCCTACAACAAACATGTCAGAACTATCTATTTCAGCTACAGCACACGAAGAATTTTATTTTAGTGGGTTAAAGCCTTTTACTGCCATGAGGTTAAGGGGAAGGAACCTCTCTTCACACAGCAGGAATTTGTCATAGAAACGCAAGCCCTAAAAAACATGACTTTGGTATTTAAAAACTCCCCAATACATAACAATAAGAAGCCAGTCAATCTAAAAAATGTATCTTTAATGTAAACCTCATGGGGAACTACCTAAAATTTAAAGTCTACCTGTAAACATTTGTCCTGGGGTGACTAAACAACATTGGATTAGTGGATCTTTCTAAACTGTAACAAGGGATTTTAGAAAACAACATTACACACCAACAGCACTTCCCCCCCCCACAGTGAGACACAAAAGCATAAAATCCTTAGGGAAGAAGCCACTAACTAGAGGGGAGTGGAGGTGGAAAGGGAGGGAAGGGAAGTTGCTGTTCATTATTTTTTAAGCTATACTTGCTCCCTCCCCTACTTAAATTTAAAAAAAAATAAAAAAAAAAGAAAGAGTTGTTAGTTGCTGATGTCATCAAAGTGCTAACATTAATCACTCACAGCATCACTGGTCCACACACAAGAGCATATAAAAGGGATGCTCAGGCAGCATACTGCCAAGGGAAGACAAGCAAGTGAGGAGGGGAAAAGACATTATTTTTTTTTTCTCCTGTGTGGTCTTTGAAAAGCAAGGCAACAGCATCTTTAGACAAGATGTGCTCTTGCAGGAATTTAAGTGGAAGAGACAAAGAAACCATGCCACCAGCAGCATCGGAGAAAAAAACTGAAATCACCAAGCAATGAGAATTCAGTCCAGAGAATCTGAGGAGAAGAAAAAGCAAACTGGCAAACAGAGATCAGTCAGGAAAAAATTCAAGTAGAAAGGGATACAAAAAATTTGGTGTTGGTAACATTTTCACAGCAGCATCACCATAAAGAAATTGTGTTCTGGAATTTCCGTCAGGGAGTGACGGTAAGTACTGACTTTATGATCCATAAAACATCAGATGGCTTTTCCAAACATTTACATGTCAGTAATTGTGTGTTTTCTAATAACCGATGGCTTGCAACAATAGAAATGCACTATTGTTATTTAATTATATTTCATTCTACTTACAAAATGCTATGAGGATTAAACTGTTGAAACTATTGTTCCTAGGCTGTGTTAGAAAGTGTTCTATTAAAAAAAAAAAATTGTAATTTTAAGTAATAGGGATCTACCAGCTAAAGACAAGGTAACTGAGCAAGTAAAAGCTCTGATCTCACTAAGGCACCCTATTTTAATATCTGCAGTAGTTGGGTAGATGCCAAAATGTGTCTGTTTGGTAAGTTTGTCTGACAGCAAACTCAGTTCCTTTATATTGTTGCTGTTTTAAAAAGAGCGCATTTACCACAGAAATAGAACAGCAGCATCTACCCGGATCAATCATATCCATGGTTATACATTGTCATGAAAATAAACACACATCTTTTTCTTCCCACTTCCCAGTAAGTATAATCTAAAAGCCTTGAGCAACAATTTTCATACAGAAGCAGGCACAGAATTCTTACTATTAATGCAATGTCACTATCTAAATCCCATTTAAAAACATCCTATAAAATATTTTTCCAATCTCCTATCTAATATAAAATACAAGTATTACAGAATAATTTCAGAATATGTTATGAGCAAATCTCACAAGCTTTCTTCCTCAGGAGAATTTTCAATAATTAATTGCTATTTAGCCAGGAAATATATAATTTTAAAATTTTTGATCTTAAAAAAAAATTAGATATAATTTTCACAACGAAGTCATAAACAATGAAATAGTCTTACTGTCATGGCCATTTATAGTCATAAAAAAAGTGAGAAACTTTCAGAGTGGAAAAAACTTCCACAAGTGCCACTGGAAACTGACAATGGAACTAAAGAATCAGATTAAATTGCTGAGGTAAGCTGTTTCTCAAAAGTTACCATCATAACACTAAAAGCATAAAACTCAAGCCAAAGAAGTGAAAATATCCACTGGTTGTTATTATATATTCTTTAATATATGTGTTTAGAGAAATTGCAGAAAAGAGATATTTTCCTTTCACTATTTACAGTGGTTACACATACTGAGAATCTCAAAATTTTCTAATTTGAATTGAGGACGAGCTGGAGTATAAATTCAGGGCAAACAGACCATGGGATTACATAAAATTACTTAGAACAGCAAAGAGCATTAGTAATTTTTAAAAATCCCCACTATTTATCTAAAAGGTAGGCTATAGTGAAAGCTGTATTTCACTAAGCTTGACAAAGCTTTTCCAAGAGGCTGACTAGAATCAAGACTAAATATTGTGACACTGATACCACCACTGTACAGCATTCACAGCCACTGCCGCAGTGTAGCTGCAGTGGCTACAGATGTGCAACTTAACAGCAAAACATGGAGAGTGTCACAGAATCACACAACAGTCTGGCTTGGAAGGGACCTTAAAGATCACCTAGTTCCAACACCCCTGCCACAGGCAGGGACACCTTCCACAGCTTCTCTGGGCAGCCCATTCAAGTGCTTCACAGTAAAGAATTCCTTCCTAATAACTTATTTAAACATACCCTCTTCAAGCTTAAAGTCATTCCTCCTTGTCCTATCAGTACTTGCCCATGTAAAAAGTCCCTCTCCAGCTGTATTGCTGTATCTAGGTACCAGAAGATGCTGTAAGATCACCCTGGAGCCTTCTCTTCTCCAGGCTGAACAGCTTTCAGCCTGTCTTCATAGGGAAGGTGTTCCTTTCTGAACTTGGGAATAAGAAACTAATTAAGATATTGGAGACAAAATAATATGTGGTCATGTTTCCACGTACTCTTTTGTTTTTCAACTGATTGTGACCAGCAAAAATAAAGACTTGTCAATGGTAGAGGCATTTATTCCTCAATATCAACTCCTGCTAACCCCTCTTGCCACTTAACATAAAATGTAAGATACACAGACTAGAGAAAAAAAGAACTGCTGCATTTTTTTTACAATCACCTGGGCGAAAAAAAAGTGAAAGGAAGTGATTGCCCAACTATAAATTCTGCAAAAATCCACCAATTCTCAAGATATAACTGGTCACTTGTAAAGACAGTAGCTATGGTGGAATTTCTCTAAGTTTATGTTTACCATTTCAGTTGGAAAAGAAATACACATTTTAAAACACCCCAAAATTCATGAACTTTCATTCCCATTTTTACACTGAAGTGCCAAGGATGAGAGCATACTTTCCTAACACCATTCCTACATTACAGAGCACTACGAATAAGATCCAAACAACAACCTCAGCGCTGCAGCTTCTCCAAGGAAGATCCTCCCTTTCCACAGGGTGATCAGCATCAAGAGAGACAAAACACTTCCAAGCAATATCCTGATGGGAATAACCATCCAAAACATCACAGGAAGCACAGCAATGGTAATTTGGCCGAAAATGGCCAGTTGTGTCGACAGCTTTTACAGCATCATGTACCACCCTAACTGGAATAGCATGCTATCCAGCTACTCCAGAAAGAGCTTTCAGAAGGAAGAGAGGGTGCCCACCACTCGCTCCTCCTTTGTTGTTGAAAACCTGACTCCCCTCACAACGTACATCATGTGTGTGACCTGCCAGTCCGCAAACCCCTCCAGCGACCAGTGCAGAGTTTTTAACACCCTGGAACGAGACCCAGCATCGGCGAGCAACACCAAGAAAGATCTGGCACTGGGCATCTGGCTGACCAGCAGTGTCCTGCTCCTCATCATCGCTGCAGTCCTGCTCTACGGCTGCCTGCACCTCCTGTGCCGCAGGAGACACGAGCGTTTGCAAGAGCAGAACAGGACCTCCAAACAACAGCATGGGGAGACGTGGACCAAAAGCGTGGCATATGCCTCAGATGAGTTCAGCAGGCAGAGCCAGCAGACACAGGATGCTGAGGAAAAGCATCCAGGTGGCATTCAGCTGGCCACAATCATAGAGAATCCCTCAGTGTGCAATGAGCCCACGATGCCATCTTCTAAAAGTCAGGAACGAGTCCCAGTAACAGGACAGCACTCAGCTATAAATTAGAAACATTTCCGCCAGGAGAAGATTTTTGCTACATAAGGTACCCGAGCTGCTTCAAACACATCACATGCACTGTTGGTGCTCACAACAAGGAGCTCCGACTGCTGGCCACAGCACTCCTGGCTGTACCTCTGATGCCACACCCCTGTCCAACAGCCTGTATGCAAAGGTTCACAAAGTATGCAAAGTGCCCTAGAAGTGAGCACTTCAGTCACCCTCTATTATTTAAAAATGAGGCATGTAGCAAGTAATTGGTTTACTTTTCAAGGGGATGTTTTTGTTGCTTTTCTTTAGTCTAAAAGAGCAAACAAATATAAAAAGTAATCAAAAGTGACCAAAAGAATTTTTGTTAACTAGCATAATAGAATAAAATTGAGTAGGAGTTTTCAGATGGCAACCCAGACTGCTACACTATAGGCAACTGGAACATACACACAGAGTGCAGTGGTTTGCCAGTGTAAGGTTTACCCTGACAATCCCAGTTGCTTCCCAAAACACACACTACAAGCAGTACTACACTCAGACAACACACTTCACTGCCTAGGGTGTTGTCCATCCCTCCCATCTGCATTGAGGTCCGTCTCAGAATGTAAGATAAACTTACCAGGATGAATTGTATTCTCTAATCTGTCTTATTTTCCCTCAGTCTAAATACACGCAAGATACTGACTTTGTAAGGACACATCTAATTAAGGAAATATCCTGGGTTACCACATTTTGCACTCTTCTGCTCCCACCACAAGCTACCTTCTGCTCCATGGGCCAGTGACTCCCTGCAGAGGAAACAGAATTCAGAGACACAGCTCCTGGCCTTTCCTTTTCTCTTTCCCTTTCAGTTTTAATGATAACACGCATTAATCAGCTGCAAATTCCTTTCCAATTACACAGTACATTCTGTGTAATGAAAGGGGACAAAATAGTAAAAACATACCAAAATGCATTTTATTTTTGTAACAAGAAAACCTGCTGATCATCTCACTCTGCCTTGAGCTTCATGGCAAAGTGCCAAGGTCCTTCAGACAAATCTGTTCACCCTCACAACGAGACAAATGTCATCTGATTTACATGTATAAGTCACCCTGTTTTAAACCTCTTAAGTGCATTTGTGTTCCATGAAAACATAATAAATCTTAGTATTGCTGTATATTATGCCTAAAAAAAGAAAGGTGCGCTGTGACTGCAGGCACTTAATTGCTCTTGGTAGGAATGTATGTGTGAAGTCAGCTCTCTCTGACACAGCTCGGTTGTACCACTGAGGGCTGGAGAACTGCTGGCTGGGCAGCTGCCATCCCTCTCCACCGGGCCCTGAAGCTAAGAGGGGGATACAATTTTGGCAAGAGATCTCCTCATGAATATTTCACAGCAGGTAGCGGATCTTTTCAGCTACTCTATTTTGACAACAATTCCCATGACTTGTGAAATCCATCAGCTCTCAGAGTGCTAGGGAGAAGCTGGCATAAGCGTGATGAATCTTCTTTACTTTTTTTTTTTTTTGAGTAGGATAAGCATGACACACAGAAATGTTTGCTGAACGGGGGCGAGTATGACTCTCAGAAAACACTTCAAAAGGCATTTTTATTGTGTGAAGTTAGCAATAACGTGTTCTCCACCTGCTGCAGAGCTCTTCCTCCAGCTGACACATTTTCCTTTGTCTTGCACGTCAGTCTCAAATAAACTGTCAGAATAACATTTCACTGCTGTTTCAAATGATGGTGTTATGTGAAATAGGCACTGAAACACCCTCATCAGAGCATGAAGCCAACACAACAGGTTTACTGCCAAAAACGGGTGCCTGGGTAGCAAGCACAGAAAAAATGCTTTTAAATTATCTTGTCATCAAATTAACAGTAACATTTCTCTGATTAGGTTTTCATCAAAAAAAGATTATTTTAATTTTAAAGGGATGAAGCCAAGAGACACACAGTCAATCTCTGCCAACATTTTGGGCTCTTGGAAACCTGTTTACTTCTCTGCACATCCATTTATTTATGTGGGTTTTAAGGCAGTCCAATACATATATATACACACATTTATGTTATATACACATGTACATGCCATACTGAGAACAAGGAGCAGTTAAGTCTTAAAGCAGTTTCAAGGCAATTAATCTACCGCATTTTGTTATTTGTTAACAAACACATATAAGCAAAAGACATGCCTATATCCAACTGAGAAGGCAAAGAGCTACCATGGAAGTGCTTCCCAAGGGATTTACCTTCTCTAAATATAAAACCATTCCACCCACAGAGTTTACTGTGCACTACTAAGATAAACATTTATATCATCTCACAAGCAATGGACCATCTCGCACCTGCTGCAAATGAGCAACTCATGCAGAGTGTCATCTGTTTTCTGCTCCAGTTTTGCAAAACTCATGTCATCACATGCTCACAGAGCTACATGATTCTTTTGTTTCTTGCTGAGAAAGTTTTATTACAGATTAATTCAGGTTCATTCAAGCAATTCTGTATTGGATTTGATAATTCACCACTCAATATTAACAGTCATCAAGTACAGGACAAATATTCTAAATGATTACCAAACTGATAACAAGCTGCAACATAGTGCAAACTGATTTTAATTTGTGCACCAGAGGTAGATAAAAACCATTATATTCACAGTGAGAAGTACCTTTCAAACATGTCTTTTTCACAAAATAAATAAGTTAGCATCTTCAAAGTGCTGAAGACATAAAAACATTACAATATTTGGAAAATGTTGTATAAGACAAAGAAAGCCCTTCAATTCTGGTCTACACAACCTCTATAAAACCAGGTATTTCATGAACATGCAAGGTAGTTCAAGTCCCCAGAAAAGATATTTTCTTATATGTATATTATAATATAATTCATGCATTCACCCCATGTTGCCAAATTTCAACCTGCCAACATCAGTATCATTAATCCTACATATACTTTACCTGAGTAAATGGGTTTCAGTGATCATGCTCAACCTAACTTTTGGAATAATCCAGCTCTTAAAAGGCTAATGAGCTTTTGCAGGCTGGCTCCTTCCTACCTGACAGCTCTGCTTCCATATCAACCAGAAGAAGCTGTATTTGTTGGTTTTTGTTTTGCTATTTACATGAAGATACCACTCAGAAAATGTCAGGTGCTAAAGAGAATGTTACTACAATTCTCTATGCTAAGTATCAAGACACATTAATATAGAACAGATGCTTTGATCCATTTAGAAATATCTGGGAATATGTGAATGCTTTGAGATACAAACAAAACATTTCTTTAGTTGCTCCTGTAGTAGTGCAGCCTCTATAATGTAAGAATCCTGTTACTGGCTATATAAAGTAGAAATGTTAAAAAACTCAGTCCAGATATCCCCAATTTCAAAATACATTCAACTCAAGAATAAAAATATACTCTTGTTAAAATTTAAAACTACAGGGAGTCATGAGTATTTTCTAATATAGGCCCATCTAGTTATGAAATTTGCCCCAGAAATGCAAGACCCTCCTCTTGATTGCTGCTGCTCATATAGAAAAATAATCAAGAATTCTGAAAATGTATAGCTCTCAGTATGAAGATTACTAAACTCATTTTAATAATGTAACCTGACTGATAAAAAAGTGTTCCTCAGTTAATCTTCTGTCACTCACCCCACGGTATCATCACTTAGATAAATTAAGTTAGCAATCTCTATGAAATTCAGTCAGGTTTTTGCTCTATGCTGCATCCGGTCAGTTCCTAAAATAGTAGGGAACACAATAACTCTAATGTAAGAAAATTCCACTTTCCTATAATTTACTGCTCCATTTTGGAGAACAATTACATAAAACAATATTTACAGGACCAGACAGTCAGTAGTTACATTCCACATTAAGACATATGAATCCTTTTCCACCTCCTTTATATTTTAAAGGCACGAAAACTTTTATTTTTATTTTTTATTTTATATTTATTTTATATTTTGTATTTTATTTTTCAGCAGATATTTTAGCACTGAAATTTGTAACTCCTGAGATATCTCAAAACCTAGGTTGCTGGGTTGAACTTTCACCATATAACAGAAAATAAGAGTATGACAAGGACTAATTATATTCATGTTTAAGTAGGAGGTAGATATTAAGAGTAGCCACCTGAAACACTTATAGCACACCTGCATAAATTAGAGGTATAATTGAGTACAGATTTTAAATAATTTTAAATAATAATAAATAATTTTAAGCTCTTTTATTGTCTATCCTCTAATTTAATCCTTGTATTTTCATTTATCTTTTCCATACTTCAGCTTGCCACCCAGATATTCAAGAAAACATTGCAAAATTTAGAGTCACACCTTGTCATATAGTCTCAAATGATTCACTGAAGATAGCACTGCTGGTTTTTACTGCTGCTTGAGGTAGATCAGTATTTCTGACTAGATATTAAAAATGCAAATATATGTTAATGCACTATGTCTTTAAATGTCATTAAGACTCAGGCAATAATTCTGAAGAATAAGAAAATAAATCTGCAGTGATCAGGGAGAACAAATCTATCACAGACGAGCATAGCATTGATCCTATGAATACAAGCTAACTTCCCTCACTTGGGTAGCCCACAGCTGTTCTCTTGTGCCAAGTACTCTTCCAACTTGTCACCCCACAAGCCCCTTTCCAACCCCACTATTGGGGACTGCCATAGGGACAGAGTGTGTGACTGCACATCACGTACCCTTCTACTGAGAACTTGCATAAACCTTCCCAGCCCACCTAACTGCAAAGCAAGAAACGTGATGCTGACACAGAAGATGAGAGCCAAGACACCAAGCTCATTGCAATGAGTTTGCGGCTCTTTGGTTGTAGATGCCAAAGAAAAACTACATTAAAAAAAAAAATAATTGAAGTAGTTTGGTATCTGACAGCTTAAGATTGTCAGAATCCATATTCCTTTTAAGTCACATAACATCTGAAGCAGTTTTTCCTATCTATTCCCTTTTCTTCTGTCGTCACAGTCTTCATCAGTGGAACAAGGGAGAGCTGCACCCAAGATTGTTCTCTTGTTCTCAAGAACAAGATTGGGATCTTGTTCTCACTTCACCAGATGAATAATTAAGCTTTACTTTGAGTCTACTCTGCCACTATAAGCAACTGAACAATGCAAGGTTGTTGAGAGAAGGGCTTATTTTTAGCTCTGTCAGATAAGACTTACCATCAGACTAATCAATTGCACTTTGGCTGAAACACACGGTGAGCTTTACAGCAAAGTCTTAAAATAAGTGTATGTTCAATTTAAAAAAACCACAAAATGTATTTCAGTCCATTTCTAATAACTTTCATATACAGTAGTTTCTATAAGTTAAAATGATACCTTTAAACATTAGCAAACCATAAAGATAAAGGGAATTAAATCCAACCTTTGATCCATAGAGATACTGTGGCTGTGCATTAGGCTGCTTATCACGCTGAAACTCCTGAGAAAACGGCAGCACAGTCCGAACAAACCTATATAAAAAATAAAAACAAGAATTCATTATTTATGCTTAGTGAGCAGGTGTGCACCTAATGCACCCTACCCTGAAGAAGACTGCCTTTGTCTGCATATACAACCAAAGCCAGACCAGCAGCCTTTCAGTCCTAGTAGAAACTGGGGAAGCACACAGCCTGAATTGCCCAAATCATAAACACAAATCACACTGCAGTTCAACAATTATTCTTCTTCCCATGGTGCGTAGGATCCCAAAATATTCCTCACCTCTACTCTAGTCCAAGCCAGCAAAGAGGGAAGTAACTAACAAAGCAGCAATAGCCTCTCACAGGGCGTAAGGAAACTCCTTGTGCTTGCAAAATTAAGTCCTTGAGAAAGAAGTAAGCCTTCAAAGAAGATGACATTTCTGTTTAATACTTCAGAGCTTTCCCCCCAGAATTCACATCAGGAGAAATATGTTAGATTGTTACCTTTAAAAAAAGTCATGAGGAAGGGTATAAGCCTCGCAGGAAAATCTATGTTTTGAAAGTTTAATCATACATCAGTGTGAGCATGTACCAATACAAACCATGCTTAGCTTTACCTTTTATACTGTTAAGAGGATGGCAAGAGAACTACAAAGATATTGAGCACTGCCAAAGACAGGATCAGCCAACTCACTCACAACTGAGGGCACCAGAGTCTTAAGGACTATTCCCAGTCCTCTTGTGAAAAAGCAGCACAAATCTTCCCCCTTGATGTTCCGCCTGTCAACTGTGTAATGCACATTTGGCAGCACTGCAGTTTTAGTGCAGGAAGAAGTTAATCAATATCTACTACAATTATGATTCCGCTTAACCATATTAAAGAGAGGAAACTTGCTGGGAGATGTGTGTTTACAAGCTGGATGGCTACTCTATTTTTTACCTTGATTAAAAAGTATTTCTTGATAAATGGTGCACAGCTGTATATGCACAGCAAAGAGGGAAAATAGCTATTTAAGAAGTGTACATCAAATGGCTGTATAATATCAGACTGGTCCGAGTGATACCTAAGAAAAACAAATTTATCTAGGAAAATGTTTCAGGAAAGAAAATTTGCCTTACATTATAATACTATAAGATACAATTACATCCTGATCTTTTTTTGTTTAAAGTATTTACATTTCATCAGCACACAAAATTAATTATTCATTATTAATTTTTCCTAGAAAGAACAGATATTCTATTGTTAATATATCCATCTTTTAGCTAAAAACAAAAACAGCCATGCTAATCAAAAATTGTTTCACCCAGACAAATATAAATTGCATCATGTTGCTTACAATTATTTCCACTGTGTTTTATTTCTGAATCATTCTTGTGAGAACCTATAACTTCAGAACAATATTTTCTGCATTTTTAACCTTCTCAAAAATAGGTACAGGTACTTGTTCATATATAGTTTAGCCACTCTTCCCAAAAATACTTGTACTTGCTGTAGTCCAGAAAGAGTTTGCATTTAGAGCTTTTAAAGAAAAATACCTTATTTATATGCATTATTTTTAATAGCTATTATTTAGATCTCCTTACATTTATATTTCCTCAGTTTACAAGTTTCTCCCCTTCTCCCTCACTTACATACAAACTGAAAACTCTCCTTTGAGAGAGATTACTTGAATCTGTATTCTGCAGATACTTCATTAATGAGTTTACCAGAGATGATGCAAACATTTGATGGAATTTAAAGTAATCTGCAACATCTGCACAGTGCCAGAGATTATTCCTTCTTTTTTTTCTCTCCAAATCCCACTCATTTTTAAACTGACATCAACTTTCAAGCCTAAAGAGAACCTCTAAAATGAAATCATAAGAGATGCCATGTCATTTGAGATAAGACTGGGTTTCAGTGTGTAGCTGTATTTGTTACCACTAAAGAGAGAGCAGATTTGAGCAGATTTGTTACCACTAAATTAAAACACTCACAAGAAAAGGAGTGTTTCAACATATAAGTGGGTGCATCCAATAACTCTGGAAGTTGTAGCTTTAATTCTTAGACTTTTCAAAAAGTTATCGTGTGTATGTATTTCAATTACAATGTAATTAGTGTCTGGAAGCAAACCAGTCAGTGCAAGTGAATGTTCAAGTAACTCGTATGTTTCTCAGTGTTCCTCTGCTTGCTTGGGGGTTTCTCCATCTCTAATGCTTCAGAATAGTAGCAAAATAATCTTAAAAGTTTTCCTAAAGACTTGAAGCAAACACACTTGCTTATACTTTCTTGGGTGAAAGAGGCCAAGAGAGGAAGAAAAAGAGAAAGGAAATAGGGGCAAAAGGTAACAGTCACTTGTTAAGTTACAGAGAGGCAACGTCCCAGATTGAGGCTACAGCAGCCTAAAGAGTACATCATCCTAGAAGGTATGTGACTAATCCCAACACGTCATTCGGGTAAGTACTAGAAATTTCTTCCCTAAAAACTAAGGGCTATATGAAAACCTTACAGTTCAGCATCATTTACTGTTCTTCAAACTTTTTCAACGTCCATGTGTGTGTGTGTGCTCTCTTTCTGACATTCTGCTGGTTGGCTTCCCCCTGCTCCTCCTCCAAGAAAGAGGAATATCTCTTTGAAGGAATAAAGCTCTTTGAATATCAAAGCTAAAGCTACGCAAACTTTTACTTTCCTCTGGATACTGACTGGATATAGGTTTCAGCATACTCCAAGATAATCAGTTTCATTTTTAATCAGTGTTGATGATCTCACAGCAATTTATCCATTTTAATCAGAATAGGTTGCAAGCAGTCAAAGTAGATTAGGCAGATGAAAAGCCTTCTGGCTTACCAAAGCTTTGCAAGTGAATTGCTACAGGAAAGCATGATCCCCTAAAGTAAGTATTTTAGGGATCAAATCATATAATATTAGTTTTTCTGTGATACCTACAAGGAAGGCATTCATAGTGAACACTTCACAAACTAATCTAAATGATTCTATGATTTTAATTACTATAATCTATTTAAAGAGGTAACTGAAAGAGACTGCTTTGTCAATGAGCCTGCTGCCTTGCAGGCACCCGGTCAGATGAACCTCATTCATAAACTTTCTGAGCTTCATCTTAGAGTAATAAGATATGACAGCCTTCCCTCCCTTCTCCTACAGAAAGTGTTCCTCTGCACTTCTCTGTCTAATTGGCATGAACACTTTGAGCTTCCAGCATTCTCAATGAGTTTGTCCTGTCTAGCAGAACTAATGGTAGCCCTACACCTCCTCTCAGTGAACACTAGATCTGACTCACCCTTCTTAAACACGGATGCCAAGAAGGAGAGAACAGAGGAAACCGCAAGGAAAACAGTGCATGAGAGAGCAATAGATCTGCCAATCCATTGCTATCACTTTTCCTTTTGGCAGAAAGACTTTGTTTGGTTGCTTGTTTGTTTAGGAGGGTAAAGGAAGTTGACTACAGTCACCCCTACTTTGCATGAGTTGATATCCCTGCACCATTTGGCTCTTTGTAGCAGAAACTAGGTGATTTTCACTGCTACTTTTCAGGTTAGCTCCAGCAGTATCTGCAAGGGCTGAAAATTTTTCTGAACAGTGACTGTCAGAGTATATGCAAAATAAGAAGACACAGCTGCTCTCTCGTGAAAATCAGTCTCAAAAGCAGTATGAGAGAGAGCAAGCTCACAATAGGAAGTGGGAGAGGCAGTCAGGAAGACTGAAAAATAAAAAGCTGATCATTTTGTTCCTTCTGTGAGAAATCTGTATCCTTGGAAGAAACATGTCATATTACATTTGGAAGAGTGCTATACACATGAATTTATACTAGAGAACACAGATTTGGGTAATGTGTTAAAGGAGATGGAGCTACTAGTTTGACTTCTGTCTCCAAAAGTTTTTATCATTTGTGTCAAGAAAGCACAGAAAATCTTCAATTCAAATAAATATAAGGCTGTCTCACACTTGCTCCTCTGTTAGTCCTTAATACAAAAACAAGCTGTCAAGGAAGGAAAAGTAAAGAAAATAAAGCAGAAAAAGCGACAGTACAGAGAGTGGAAAAGGAACAAAGAACAAAAGTGTGGAAGTTGTATTTGAGTCATTTGAATCTAGATAACCTAACTTCACACGGAAAAAGTTCAGATGCAGACCTAAGCATGACAAATATTCCTGGTGTGGAAAGACTTGGCTTGAAAAGACATGCCACTGAGAGCCAACATGAGAGAGGGTTCTTGAAAAACAATCCCAGGCAGCAAAGAAAAAAATCAGCAAGTGGGAAATGCCTGTTTATGGCCACTTTCAGTAAAAGAACTGATGGACAATAGCTTGAGACATCTAAAAGTGATGCAGCACAAGCTTCACTGCAGACTCCTCACTGGAGCACATAATGAATGCCAAAGCCTCACGTTGCTTTATAAAAGAGACAGGACAAAACAATGGGGAAAAATAAATACTCCTGTAAAAGGCCACAAATGCACTAACATCCCACCATTTTTGTTTTACAGAAACATCTAATCATTGCTAGAGACTGGCATGTTTCCTGGGAGAAATATGACCTCAAGCCTCCCTTGTTTTCATATTCAGCCCCTTTATGGATGCTGACAGCATCAGGACACTGGACTAGAGACAACTTTGACCTCACCTGCAGTTCATATGCTTGTGCACTATCCAAAGGTTTGTTTTCTTTCTTACATGATGGTCAACAGGTGGATTAAAAAAACCCTTGGATTTCACTGCTAAGGCCCATCTGCAAAGGTCCCCTCACTCATCTCCCCATTCCTTCTCCACAAACTGTTGTCCCTGAGTTTGTGCAGCTGGCCAGCATTAATGAGACTAAATTTCAGATAAATGGCAACTCCAATTATTAAATTGCTAAATCTTTTAATAGCAGCCTCACTGTTTAATCTCAGTACATTATCAGATATAAAAAAATATTCCTAAGTCCCAAATAATTCAACATGCAATGTGTTTCAGCACTTCTGCACGAAGAGCTTTAGCTTTTGAACTAAACCTGCAGGGTTTCTAAATAGTTGAACTCTTTTACAGATATACGAAATTATCACATTCAAGCATTCTTGGGAAAAGAGCTTCAAAAGGTACTGGAAACAAGTTAATCTGACCAAAACACTAACTTTAAAAGAAGAACCCTTATACCAAGCTGTCAAATTAAAAGAAGACAAGCCACAGCTATGACATATTTTCTGGGAACTCTGCATCCACCAAGTAACCTCTCTGCTTTTCATCATGATTATTTCTCTTTCTTCCAGCCTTTAATTGCTACTTTTCTTCCCTTGTTTAGACGTAACCTTCATGCAAGACATTACCTATAAAGAGTCAAGCATTAAACCAGCATTTCTCACACAGCTCCTCTCTGTGTACTCCTGTGTTTGCACTCAATAATCTGTACACTTGAATGCAGAGAGTGCATCAATTAAAAGTTCATGCTAACATTAAGGCAGTAATGAACATGCTTAAGGACTATAAAAAGGCTAAAAACTTCCTGTTCTCTCTCTCACCAAAAATATCAAAGGGCATTGTATAGCATGTGCAATGCATACATTAATTCTCTCCACACTGCTGCTTTTGACTGAAACCAAAACACTTCTGTGATGAAATCAGACACATGGTACACATACAGCCTAAGACCTGGCTCCCTTTAACATCTCTTAAATTAATTATCCTGAATTAATTACCCAACAAGCTGAGCCTAACTCAATTCTTGTGTACAAATTTTAAAAGCAGACAAACAAGAGTGCTACAGAATCCTGCTAATGTCCTTTGGCATCTCACACTCACTTCCCAAGTACTGTGGTCTGCAATACATCAGCCTTTGTAGCCAGGACGAACATAGATTAAGCTGTTCAAGAGCTTCTGAATGTCTTTCAATAAAGCTGATGGGTGGAAGAGCAGCATTTAATCAAGATTTTTATATGATTCTTAATACAGCACACTGAATATTCCAATATTGATCTCCAGATAGATTAACTGCACAGAAGCTCCCTTGGAAATGCATTCATCTTTCCTGTGCAAACAGATTCCTGTAACAGAAGTTTCTCGGGTAAAACTTAGCCACAAAAAAACCCCACTCTTCTTTTTTTTTTTTTCCTTTGAAGACAGAATCTTGGATCTAAAATACAACATAACCATCAAGGAACATGTCAGACAAGGAAAGCTCTCCAAGGAGACAGTAAAAGATGAGAACAGGCTTCCTCCTCTTCCTACAGCTCAATATTCACTATCACTTTACTGTCACTTCACAGGGCTTTAACCAAAACGTGAGTAAAGACTAAAAGTAACACAAATCCTAAAAACAGCACACGAGCAGGAAGCACAGATATGCAAAATCTTGAATACTGTGCTTCCCCCTCATTCAAACCCTAGATCCTACCTTCCTCTTTCTATTTCCATTACTCACTCTCCTTAAAGGCTGCAACTGCAGTTTGCAGTGAATACTGAACTCTTCCTTTCTCCAGGAAACAATCTTTTTCTTCACATTAGCATAGAATCAGGGATGTAATTTTATTTCTGTCATCTCACACTTGAAGATCCTGTTTCAAAATACCTTCCTGATACGCACTTAGCAGTGTTTTGACACACTCTGTTTTTCAGCATACCCTGACTACGTCATCAAAATGTCAGAATTTGGATGCTGTGGTTCCATTTGCCTTCTACTGTGGACAAATAACAGGCTTTCATACATTTAACAGTACTTGGTAAAATGACTCATGCTGCTTCGTTTCAAGAAAAGCCTTAGAAGTAGAAAACACTAAATGAATGGAGATGAACTTGTCAGCACTTGCTAGAAAGGAAGTTGCAGAAGGGTGGTAGAATAAATAAAAAGCTGCAAATAAAAAAGCTGCCTTGCTAACCTGTTAGTAGATCCATTGTAGCAGTAGTTTGGAAGGAAATCATAATTGAGTTCCCAAAAAACATGAAGAGTGATTCTGCCATAAGGGGCTGAAACATTGTGGTTGGCTTCTCTGAACATGGCATCAAAGCTGTCCAAGGTCATATATCTACTCAGAAGCTTGTGAGTCATTTTGTTTATCTCTATCAAGCCATCCAGCTCCTGTGAAAAACAAGGGGAAAGAGAATGATGCATTTAATAAAGTGGAGAAACTGAACAAAGTACATAAATAACCTTAAGGGAAGAGAAGACTAGAAAGAAGTAAAAATTAACAATTGACTCTCTCCCAGTCTCTTACTTTAACAATAAGGGCTGGAAGGAATCAGTACTGTTGGGATTGTTTCTTAAACCTGAGACTTTAAGGGTATTCAGATCAATATGGATCTCAAACACAGATCTGTACCAACAATTCCTCCATTGAGCAAAACTTTAAACTCCAACATTTAAATGGGATCAGACATAGGCCAAAAGAACCTTTCTGCATTTCCTAGTTTATGAGCAATCACAAAGTAATTTCTGCTCAGTAGAGTAACTGGTGAACTAACTATTGTAGTGGTAATGTTAGGAATAACATCATATCTACCATAAATCCTTCTCATGGTCTACTCCAGTGAAAGATGCATAAAGATGCAATGAAAGACCAGATCAGACATTTATAAATGTTGTGAAGGTATCCACAAAATCACTAGCTGCAGACTGCATGACTTTGTATGAGTACTGTATTTCATAATGTTTCTCCTATTGACAAGAAATTTCTAGTATCTGTTCTGGCAATTTCTTTAAACTAAAATTAAAAAAAACCAACTCCATATGTGACCTCAGACATTGAAAACACCAAACACAAAGAACATAACCTTTACTTCCAAAAAATCCAAGCACTGCTTTTAAAGATTATTGTGCAATGACCTACTGAAGAAATATCCAATGGCTTTTTCTAGCTATGTATCAAACTACTACTATCTTCCCATAGACTGCTCTCTGATTTAAGTACTCCATATTTCAAAGGAGTTTTAAATCTGTGAGCAAGTTAGTTCAAGAAAAAAAAAAACACTACGATTATTATTACAGAATTAAGTCCAGTTTGAGGGGGAAAAAATAGATCAGTCTTGTAAATACCTTCGTTTAATTTATTTACCTTGAAAAAAAGCAGAAATTACAGATCACCTGATCTATTAAGATCAGTTTCCTGCTGAGGAAACCAACCAGTTTTGAAGAGAAAACATTTTGCATAAAATAAACAAAAAAGATCACCAAATAAACAAACAAACAAACAACAAAAAAAAGAACCCCCCCAAAAAACAACAACAACCCCCCCCCCAAAAAAAACAACCCAAAAAAAACCCCAAACACCCCCCCCCAAAAAAAGGAGGAGCATAGTAAAAGATAGCCCTTAGTTCTGTCACTTTCTTACTCAAAGAATGAGAACCTGTAACCTAAGGAATACATCACTGACAGTTTCTGTTCATTCAGCCTCTAAGAATGTACTGCACGTAACAAAGAAAAACTACATTTCAATAATCCAAAGCTATAAAACCAAGCATTCAGAAGTCAAGGGGCCTCAGGATTTCATTTCTCTTCAGTAAAGAATGAAATTAAACCAATATAGTTAAGTGCACGACAAATGTCACTAGTAAAAATCTTATTACAGAAAGAACAGTAAACTCCTTTGCACCATTTTAGATTTATTTTTCATTCCAGCAGAATTGAATGTGCCTGATATTTTTGTTGCTGACTGCATGTTTACTTGTCAAATTCATGCTGTCTTGAAATAAAATTTGGTTTTTAGCATTTTAATCAGGAAACTAACTCAAAAGGACATCTCAATATTGCACAGATGCTCTTCTTCCATAGGTATGTCAGATCACATTTCTCCACAAAAAAAATTATTTTTGTCGTGCTACAAAACCAAGCTGCCTGAGTAAATAAACGAATTTTGATTCTACCAAGCACAAGGCTGGTTCTTTGATCTGCAGTTTATCTACAAGCATGGGCAGAAGTGGGTGCTTACAAAAATTCAAATCACAAGGTGACTGCTTTCCTTGTTTTCACATGGCTCCAAGTACACACCTTCTCTAAACTTTACTCCCAAAGCCCTCAGCTGCAATAGGTTTGGGGTTGTTTCACCTCAGCTGCTGTGTCAGTGATCTGGCAAAACAACACAACACTCACCACAATGGAAGTCAAATCCTCGCTTTCAAATCGGCCGATGGCCAGTTCCATCGACCGGTACATGGCTGCCGAAATGCGCTGAGTGATCAGGCGGTTCAGGTCTATGGACCTGCCAAGGAGCTGGGAAAAACCAAAGGAAAATAGGCTGGGAGGTTTTGAACTGACAGTCAGGTTACAAGACAAACTGTACAAGGACCATGAGACTCCACAGTTTAACAGACTCTCACTTTGTGAACTTGCATCCCAAACACATTGAAACAAAGCAGATGGACAAAATTTATAAATTCATGAACAAATGTGACACTAGAATTTGTGTCCTAATTCTTACAAAAAGAAGTAAAAGTACACATTTCATCTACATTTAAGAAGTACTTAAAGTACTATAAGTACTTATATTTTATGCTTCCATGACATTGTGCCAACAACATACTGAACACTGGTGAAAGACATTACTAGGAAGACAACACTACCACCCATGGCATTCTTATTTGGCTTGTGTTTTCTTAACTGCAACAGACATTTGCATAAAAATGGGATCTTTTAATTTTTTTTTCTTAATTTACACTTTCATGTGACAAAAAAACAGATCTCAAATGTTCAGTTAAGCTACCAAGATGACAGAACATGAAGCACAAAATGGGTTTTGTGTACCTACATAAATCAACACCACTGGAAAGTTGCTAAGCAACTCAAACACAACATGGTAGGAGTTAACTCACTTGAACATGTCTCTGTTTCAGCAGTGTCTCATAGCGGTTGGACTGCAGCAGCTGAATGGTTGCTCCCTGGTTCTTGCACTCTGAACACAGCCGTTTATCCAGAAGCAGGCTATGAAGAAAGGAAGAAAATACTTAACGTATACTAAACAGCAAAGCAGAGCAGAAAAGTGTGAAGAAAAGCTCTCATAGTAGAAGGAATAACTACCTGCCAGCCATTGCCTTGTAGTATGCAAATATTTGGTCTGCCAGCTTGTAGACAAATTGGTCAAAACACAGGTTTACCTTGGGGAGAAAAATATCATGTTTAGAGACACTTAAAATTAAAAAAAGAGCTTATCTAAGACCTCCCACTGTTCATCAAACAGTCAAGAAAGTTAATAGATCCAAATTTTCCAGTACAAGAGAAGATGTCATTCAATTTTCAGCATTAATGTGAGGCATCTTTGCCCAGGTCTACAGGTTTCCTCACAACATATCACCCAATCAGTTACTCATCTTCTAGTCAGTCTTCTCAGTTTTTCTGCTATCTCCAGCTGTTCTGAATCTTTTACAAAGGCCTTGCCCTTTAGCATGATTTTCACATGCAGGAACAGATGATTTTTCTCCAGTAGGTAAGGTTACTTTACCTCTGCCTCAATTTCATCATAGAGGAACTGCTTCTTAAATTTGGTAAGTGCATAATGAGCACTGTCATTATAAAGGTCCAAAGAATACAGAACATACCTACAAGAAAAAGAATAAAACACAAGAATTACATGTGTATAAGTCATGATTCTTTAGGATGGTGCAGTCAAGATGATGTAAACCAGTCAATATTGTAATTCACAAGTAGTTCACGAAAACAGAATCTTTTTCTTTTTTCGTTTACATAAAAAGGATCCTGATTTTTCCTTTAAGAAAGTATTTGCTGGTTCAAGAAAAGGTGTAGATATGTTAAAAGTCTAAAACTTTTTTCTAGATGTACCTGTCCATCACTTTTACCACTGTACATTATGTTTGAGGTCTTTGAAGAATAAGTAAGGAGAACTCAAGGAGCAAAATACGTGGCTAGTGCAACGATATGAAAGGTTTAGCATTTGACTTACTTTAAAAAAAAAACCAAAAACATAGAGGATCTGAAAATGGGCAAATGTTTGACAAAAATTTTATTAATGCTCAGAATACTTTCTCAATGACTACTTGTTAAGACCAATTAAAGCAGCAACATTATAATAAGGAATGGCAATCATGAAGAATAATGATTCAGTGGAAGAGCACAAGTGGGTCTTACTCCATCATTGATGCCTCTTTTGTCTCCAAAATATGATCCGTCAAAATCCAAGGCATGGACATCTCGATTGGAAACTGGATTCTTCTGCCCATGGTCAGCTCTAAGAAGAATTCCCTGAACCACAGCTGGGACAGATCACAGCATTGCTGCAGGGTTTCTTTCAGAATAAATAAGGGAGAATTACACTTCTTATAGAAATACATCAGGTACAATAAAACTGTGAGTCTGATGATGCAATGCAAAACAAAAAAAGCAGGTGCAAATCACTAGAGCTGTACATAGGCCAAATACTCTAAAGCAAATTCAAAATGTAAAGCCCATGACTTTTCATAAGAGTTTTGAACTCCTCACTGGCCCCCAAAGTGGTGCCTTACAGAAAAAAAAAAAAAAAAAGAGTGGAAGTGGACAAGACTATCAGTTAAACATAAAAACTGCATACACCAGTAAAAAGGGATTTCTAGTTTAATTTCTCAGTTGGGGACTGAGAAAGCCATACACTGAATTTGGGAAGCAGCAAGTGAAGGAGGCAAAATTACACTGGAACTACCAGTACCATCCCTCCTTGTGGAGGACTGAATTGCTCCACATGTTCCTGTTGATTAGATGGGCAGGAAATGACAGGAAGACACATGAAGTAGGGATTAAAACAAGCTTCTAAGGATGCTGTCAAGGGCCCAGAGGTGTGCTTCCCACCTCTCCAGAAAACACTTGGTACAATCCTTCTTTTCCTGAAGGCTTGTGAACTAAAACAGGAATGAACGTTTTACACTAAG